CAAACCCAAAAACCGCGATACAGAACCCACGATTCGAATCGCGATACTCTCATGGCGTACCGAACACGCCCCGCCCCCTGCTACCCCGGCCCCGCCCACCCCGTCTCATTGGACCGCATGTGTACACAACAAATTCAGTTTTGTAGCCTAACCACCATTAAAACCAATAATAAATAAGGTGTAACCTTTCAAATTCTGACTATTGGTATGGGTATGTTGAAAGATACAGTAAACTTAATGAAAGGCATCATAACTCATGCTTATAGCTTAGCTTATCACTGGCATTATATTTACATCAACAGAAGTCATTCAGTGTCCACAACTTGTTCCTAGAGAAAGTAACTATAACTAAATAATAATATTAGCCTATATTAGCCTATACTTAATCAGTTGATTTTGATTATTTATTGTATGTTTAAAATATCTTTCATGAAAATGACAGCAACTGTGTCAATTATTATATTTCAATAACAAATTAGTGTAAAAACACAAGTTAATGCAAAAACTGCCTTACGTTCAATTTAAATGTTTTCATACAATGTGTCGTGTGTTGATTATTATATCTAAAAGAAAAATACATAGCATCTGAATTTAGGCTACAAATCTAAGCTCTGTACTTTAATGTTTTAGTAATGTACGGCTCCCTATATAGTTTACATTAGCAGATTTTTAATAAATTTAATTGTAATTCAATTAATTTAAAGACAAAGTCATAATTTTTTCTTTAAACCACTGTTTAAAAAAAAAAAAAAAAAGAAGCAATTTACCTTTCTAAACCGAACCGAACCGAGACGTCAAAACCGTGGGAAAACCGAACCGTCAGTTTTGTGTATCGTTACACCCGTCATCATCAACTATTTGTTTGGGTGAACTATTCCTTTAAGAGTACTAAACTGAAAGAAAGTCATACTGTTGTGTTTTAGTGATTAAACCAAATGTTCTCATTACATATTACAATCATCTTGTGTTTTTAAATGATGAAAAATTTACTGTAAATGTGCTGTAATGAAAGCATGGGATCAGATTTTGGAAGAATGACTAGCCTAAATGTGTTACAAGTGTGATCATAGACTTTTGAGCAAAGAGTTTTTGAGCAAAGAGTTTTGACAATTGTGAAAACAGTACCAATGTCAATAATAAAAAAACTATTAAAACGAGAGAAATGATCAAGACTAAAATATATTTTAAAAAACATACAGTGCAATTATAAATGCAAAACAACATAATTTACCAATAAAGCTATTATCTGCAGTATATTTATCTTTATGAAACGGTAACGTTAAGTTACAGTCATTCTGATAGGTGGAGGTTTATTCACGATAAAACCATAGACTGTAAAAGCCACGTCAATGACTACACAGCACCCCTAGCAACCACTCTTAGCAACGCAAACATATCTTTATCATTAATATTGTTCATTTGATATTATTATTGCGAGAGGGTGTTTACAGTAGATATAGCATCTTCCTTCAAGTCAGTCCTATATTCGTAATAACAATCCGTTTGAATGTCCTCAGCGATATCTTGACCTTTGCTAACAGTTAACGTTAGGGGGGTTTAACTCTGACACACTAGTCGTTTGCGTCTTGCTTCTCCGTGCTCAAAAAAGTCTTCACTACTGACAGACTGTCTCATAAAGACAGTCTTTGCCGCCATCTAATGGCGAAATAATGTAAATATAGTTTTGCCTACCTTTGATGCAGCGCGATGCAGAAGTCGCTCACTCCTCTTCTCTTTAAAAAAAAACAAGAAACTTACCACTCTGTCGTCTGAAATCCCTGCTTGGAAAGTCTGTAGCACTAGTTGCTTGAAATCCGTTCAGCACAGTCCTCTTGTTCGTTAATATCAGCCGTTTCCACCGTCGGGCCGAACGGAGCTGGAACGGGGTTTCCGTGTGTCAGACTCGCGGCAGATCTTTGGAATGTATACAAAACACGTCAGTCGTTGCCTTGGTAACGCGTCATTTACTTATGGTATGAGACGTAAATAGTGACGCGTTATGGAGAATGGTCAGCTATCGCTTTTAATTTTATTACTCATTTGTTTGTTTACTTCCCTACAGATACACTGGTAGACAGGCAACAGACAAGTGACATTTGAGTAGAGAAAAGATATCGCGGTTATGAAGGAGCGTAATCCCGAACACGCGCTAAGCGCTGCCAATCAACGCACTCTGGGCCAGCTGGGCCAATCACAGCACATTTCTTATTTCGGAAGGAGGGTCTTCATCGAAAAAGACGCAACCTTTTTTTTTTTTTTTTTTTTTTTTTTTTTAGGTCCATGGCTCAACCAGAATGGGGATATAGGCGCTGCCTGTAATAATATAAAATATGTGAAAACATAATGCGTTTTGTGAACAATCAGACATGAAAACGTATTCTAGTACACCTCAAAAACAAAATCAAGATTTCGTAAAAGGCCACAATAGGACGGTCCTATTGTGGCCTTTTACGAAATCTTGATTTTGTTTTTGAATCCTATTAGGACCTCTTTTGAATAAGTGACCTACAGTGATCTGCTTCCACCTACTGGCGGTTTTAGTTTCATTTAATATACTGTATGTTCCATAATTTTATTTATTCAAATATTAAAAGTATAGGCTATTAATCTAGTAAATTATTTATGGCATTGTAATCACATTGTAAATTAATTTATACCACATCTGAGCTTCATTAAGAAGTGTAATCAACCTTAAATGCCAGCTCAGATTCTGTGCCACTTCTGTGCAGAGATTTATTCTTTTGGTGATAATGATTTCAATGATTTTTAGTGGAATTTATTGATTTATTTATTTTGATTGATTGATTTATTATTATTATTTATTATATATGATATACCATTAGCTTTATGTTATTTATGTTATGACATACCCTTTATTCTGTGGAGAAATGTTTTTGTCCATCATGCTTGCTGTACAGACAAATTCAGAAAAAATGTAGAGCCAACATAATTTTCTGTTGATCTGTACTAAAGACTAAGTAAGGAAAATAATCAGGTCGTGGTGTAATTGAACAAAATACGAACACTGATTGTAGAATAAAGGTTTGGGATATTTTCTGATTTCTGAAATCTTTTTGAAATCCCAAAATGTAAGTCTTAATATTAATATTATTGGTTATAATTATAAGAAAAGGTCTGTAAAAAAAAAAAATAAAATATATATATATATATATATATATTTCAAGATTTTTTTAGATATTTTTTTTTTATAGTTTATTATGGATATAAAAATCTTCCCAAAGCTCCACAAAAATACAGTACACACAGTAATATACATTTTAAAACATTATTTATTCCTGTGATGTAAAGCTCAATTTTCAACATCATTACTCCAATCACATGATCCATCAGAAATCATTATAATATGCTGATTTGATGCTTAAGAAACATTTCTTATAATAATGTTAAACACAGTTGTACTGCTTTATATTTTTGTGGAAACTGTGATTTTTTCAGGATAATTTCATTAACATAAAGTTCAAAAGAACAGCATGTATTATAAATATACATTTTTCATATATTTATCAATTTCATAAATGTCTGTACTGTCTTTTTTTTTTAAATCAAATTAATGTATCTTTGCCAAATTAAAATTTTTTTTTATCTTACTTATTCCAAACTTTAAAATGGCCGTGTATCATGATTTCCAATAATAATAATAAAATAAGCAGCTATATACAGGCTTTATCAACACTGCCTTTATGTATTTTAATCAGATGAGAAATGACCTTTAAGTTAATTCATGTTTTAGATAAGTGCTCTCTCAAAAGACTTAACGATTAATACCGTATGTTCTTTCTGAAACATTTTTTTTTTATCTGCTCTCTCACAGTTACATTTTTTTGGTGTGACGTTTGTGATTTTATGAAATGTTATGTGAATTTACATATAGAAATGTCATTTTTGGTTTTCATGAATGTGAAAGAAAAGTGATATGTTGTATTTTAATGTTAGCTAAACATCACATTCACATTTTCTAAACGGAATCCTCTTCTTCTTCTTTTTTTTTTTTTAAAGATTTCAAATGAAAATGTATTTTGAATATATTGAGTTCTCTAAAAACTTAAAAGCAATAAGGACAATGGCTGTGTTTAAGGATTAAGGCACTTAATCTGGACTGAAAGACTAAAAGAACTTAATCTGGATTGAAGGAATCAGTCTAAAGGAGAATTCTTGTTAACCCTAAAACTGTATTCTGGACAAATGAGGGCAAAATAGTTTTGATTTATTTAAAAAAAAAAAAAATTCCCTTGATCTGAGCAGTACAACACTTGACTACTTTTCATAAGTTTGCCTCCAGAACACACAATTTTTTTTGACTCAATTCTACAATGCTAAGTGGGTCAAAAAAAAAAAAAAAACTCTTTAATCTTGTATTTGGGTCAAAAATGGGCACCCATAGAAATGAATGGGAAAAATTGTAATTTTTAGATCATTCTAAAATAAGCCAAAATAAGACACCAGGTGACAGCAAAGTCACTTTAGATTTAGGTTTTGGCTCTAAGAACTTTTTGGAATGATATTTTAATGTAGTTAAAAAAATAAAAAAATAAAACATAGAAATAAGCATAATTTACATAGAAAATATGGTACTTTTTGAAGAAAATAAATTCAAAAATACCCCCAAAATAAAAATAAAACCACTATAAATGGATAGACAAAACTTTATCGAAGACAGTGACATAAACATTTATATTAAATAAAAATTAGGATCACACCTGAGTCCTCTGTGCCCACATTTGTCCACAATTACAGGATAAGGGCTATACGGTTAGAGGGCTACTGTTTTTCTTTTGTTTTCTTTTCTTTAGCATTTAATTACACAACAAAACTGATGATGCCTACGAAACGCGCGGTCGTGTTTCTATTACTTACAATTTGTTTGAATGTATGTGATACCCCCTGGCAAGGGTAATATTAATGTTGTATGCTTTGTATACTTTGTATACTGTTGTTTTCATTTGCAATAAAAAAAAAAAAAAAAAAATAGTGGCTACAGGACTCAGCTGAGCGGAAATGACGTCACGCGTGACGTTGCCTCAGCCCTTCGGTTCAGCATGGCGCCGCTGTTGGTCCCGCTGAAATGTGGCTTTCATATTCAAAGGCGTAAATTATCCCTGTTGCTTCAGCAGAGCCGATCCGTCCACGCGTGGATCTGTCACGACCACCGAGTGGCGAACCAGCGGAAACAGCGGAGCACTTATCAGGTACATTCACCTCTGTCACACACACACACACACACACACACACACAAGGGCAGTCCTCCTCAAACTTTACAAACACCCTGGAGCTCACAAAAGCAACCTACACTATATAGCAACGCTACGTACAGTAAAAGTAGTGACTGTACACAGTTGTTGTGTTGTTTGCGTGGTGTTGTGACTAGCTGTTGTTGTTGTTGTTAAGTAGGAAGTTGACGTGACTAATGAAATTGTCCCCGTTCTGTTGTGTAAATGTGTTGTAGGAGCTTCAGTATCATTTCTGCTAGCTATTATGGAGGTACTTGCAGGATATGCCTATAATGTCACATGACTAGTTCACTTTAGTTTGTAGATAAATTAGTTGGTTTTAACGTAACTTTTAGCTGTTGGTTTGGAGTTAACCCCTTTCAACCAGTAGGTCACATGATATATAAGTAAGACACACAACATGTGTGCTTAGATAAGACTGAATCCCGCCCACTGTTCAGCTCATATCAGAGTCACATGTGACAGACCCCATTTATGCCAAATACACTCTCCATATAGTGTTTTTTTGCCAAAGATCTGTGATTTACACTCAAGACATAGAAATGATAGTGTCACAAGCTCTTTTTGATAAATTACTTTTACTTGTTGTCTAAACAACTAGTCAAGTGGTCAATCTTAACCTGTTTGCGGCAAGAATTCTCTTTGTTGTTCATTTTTTGCTGATAATTTACTCACCCCCATGTCATCCAAGATGTCCAGGTCTTTCTTTCTTCAGTCGAAAAGAAATTAAGGTTTTTGATGAGAACATTCCAGGATTTTTCTCCATATAATGGACTTCAATGGGAACCAAACGGTTCAAGGTCCAAATGAGAGTTTCAGTGCAGCTTCAAATGTCTTTAAACGACACCAGGCGATGAATAAGGGTCTTATCAAGTGAATCGATCGCTCATTCAATAAATAAATAACTAAGTTTTATTCGCTCAAATGATCGTCTTCATCTGTTCTGTGATGAGCGTTCGTGACTCCCCTGTTCGAACTCGTTTATCAAAATGAACAAATCATTTTCTGAGTCAATTCGTTCATTTCGTTCGTTGAATGAAACAAAAGGACACGAAAAGATTCGTTCATTTTGATGAACTAGTTCGAACAGGAGAGTCACGAACACGCATCACAGAACAGAGGAAGGCGAGCATTTGAGCTTACAAACTTAAACTTTGTTATTTATTTATTTATTTTTTTAAATGACCGATGGTTTCGATTGATAAGACCCTTATTCATTGTCTGGAATCGTTTAAAGCCCTTTGAACAGTTTGCACTGAAACTGTCTTTTGGACCTTGAACCGTTTGGTTCCCATGTAAGTCCATTATATGAAGAAAATCCTGGAATGTTTTCATCAAAAACCTTAATTTCCCAAAGAAAGACATGGACATCTTGGATGACATGGGGGTGAGTAAATTATCAGCAAAAGTTTTTTTTGAAAAGTGAACTACTCCTTTAAGCACGTTTTTACTATTTCACCCTCATTTACTTTAAATCTGTTTTACACTGGGTACAGAAAATAGTTACTCTCGGGACAAAAATGTCCCCATTGAAACCCGTTAAACCGGCATTTGTCACTTCAACAAAAAACGGCCATGGGTCATCTTGAAAATGAGACCAAACTTTAGTCTGAGCACTGACATTTTTATAATAGTTTTTTTTTGACAGACAAATTTTTTCCTCACATTTGTTTTGCTTAATCTATTCATGGTCAATTTAATTCTAAAACTAAGTTTAAGGTCACACAAAAAAGTCACGTAACAGACAAACCATAGTTCAAAATAATAGCATTTATCTGAAATATAAAGCTTTTGTAATATTATACTCTACATTTGAAAGAAATTAAAGAAAGTAATAGCCTACTTTTATTCAGCAAGGACACATTAAAGTAATCAAAAGTGACAGTAAATACATTTATAATGTTACAAAAGCTTTTTTTTATTTCAAATAAATCTCCTTTGAACTTTCTATTCATCAAAGAATCCTGACTTCTTTTTTTTTTAAACATTAATAATAATCAGAAATGTGTCTTAGGGGGTAAATCAGCATATTATTCCCTCAGGAAGATTTCATGTTTTCTTGCGTGGCCGGATGTTTCACTCATGAACAATAATCATCACGTTGTTTGAATTCACCAAAAACTGATATGCCGAAATCAAAACCTGTCCGTAAAAGGGATTTACCATTAGCACCAGTCCGGGTCGAACCAGACAGCAGTGGATTCTGTCCCCAAATCAAACAATGATTTGTCCCAAAAGAAAAGAATAATTCATTCTCAATTTAGAGTTTTTGATTTGTATGGTCTGATCCTTGTGAGTGTGGGCTGTGATTGGATGATGATAGGTGTTGTGTTGCTGTTGTATCAGTCAGATCAGTGTAGTAGTCTATTTAATCGGGACAAGAGAGGTCCCCAGTACGGGACAAATAAATCAGGCCAAAAATACGGGACGTCCCGGCTAATTCTGTTTCTTGAGGTGCATTTAAAATGTTAGTATGATTTATACATCAAAATCTGTCAATTTAGAAATAAAAGGCCATTTTCTATATATCACTTCACTATAAAGAACTTGCGTTGTCAGTTAGGAAGTCATGAATTTACCAAAAAGTACCAATAAACTGCGTAAACGATACGTCGAGTGTTAGCTGAGAAGGATTTGCTAGTATGATGTTCATCAGAATCAGTGTCCATATGTTTTATTAACAGTTCATGTTAGTATTGTGTATTTATTTACCATGCTAACTAGTTTCTGCCAGAGGTTTGTGTGTGTGGGGGGTTAGGGATGAACATAAACAGTGCGTGAGCGACTTAATTAGATCCATGAGAAAAAGTGGCTCTCATTATTAGGGTTGGGTATCGTTTGAATTTGAACGATTCTGATTCCGATTCCTTGTTTCGATTCCAGTTCCTAACGATTCTCGATTCCGATTCTTTTAAGAGGCAGGGTCAAAAAAGTTTAGCTAACCTTGCTAACCAACGGTCTTTCTGAAGGAAATACTCCTTCTGTCACAAATACTTGTCACAAATTTTGCATTTTGCCGAGATTTCGTTATTTTTAGAAAAGTGAAGCCACACTTTGGACCGCCGACGTAAGCTACTCATGTTCGACTCGCGCGGTTATGCCAACACTTCCGGTAGACGCTTCTCCGTTGGTGTTGTTCAGCGGTTTCTTCTTCCGCTCGGCGGACTGTGAATATCGAAACTAGGAATTGAAATTTTAACTTTTGAACGATTCCGGGAAAAACGAAAAGTTAGTCCCGGTTCCAATCGATACTCGATTCTCGATACCCAACCCTACTCATTATAGCTAAACCAGTTGAGGACCACTGATAGCAGGCTGATGAGTGTGTGTGGAAAGAGACAGACATGTGTCAATGTTTGAACGAGGACCAATATGAGAGAAATCAGATATAGATAGGCGTACACAAAATAAACTATTACAACTTACATTTGCGAATGCACACGCAATAGTCCCAAACAACTCCGGTGTGTGTCATTCAGGTGTGTGTCATTCAGGTGTGTGTCATTCAGGTGTGTGTCATTCAGTGGGACTCAACACTTCACCACACCGGTTCGCTCACTTACATGTTTCGGGTTGAGCAGCATGATCCTGCTTAATCGATGATCCGTAAGTTTTATCGATTAAATGTATTATCGACAAATAATCGATGGTCGATTAATTGTTGACAACCCTAGTTTAATTCTATTCCATTAACCAAATAAACAAAATAATGAATTTATCAAAATAGCATCATATGACTAGGGTTGGGTATCGAGAATCGAGTATCGATTGGAACCGAGACTAAGTTTTCGTTTTTCCCGGAATCGTTCAAAAGTTAAAATTTCGATTCCTAGTTTCGATATTCACAGTCCGCCGAGCGGAAGAAGAAACCGCTGAACAACACCAACGAAGAAGCGTCTACCGGAAGTGTTGGCATAACCGCGCGAGTCGAACATGATACCTTACGTCGGCGATCCAAAGTGTGGCTTCACTTTTCTAAAAATAACGAAATCTCGGCAAAATGCTAAATTTGTGACAAAAGGAGTATTTTTACAGAAGGAGTATTTCCTTCAGAAAGGCCGTTGGTTAGCAAGGTTAGCTAAACTTTTTTGACCCTGCCTCTTAAAAGAATCGGAATCGAGAATCGTTAGGAACCGGAATCGAAACAAGGAATCAGAATCGAGAATCGTTAGGAACCGGAATCGAAACAAGGAATCGGAATCGGAATCAAAATCGTTCAAATTCAAACGATACCCAACCCTACATATGACCCCTTTAGTCAAAGTCGCCAGAGTCCTCCTGATGGTAAAAGGTTGTGTGTATTCAGTCGAAGAATGTACAGCCATTCAATAGATAACTGACAGGTATTTAACTAATAAATACGCTAAATATCTATATATTTTATGGCGCAAATCATATTTGTATCATATTTCACAAAGCTTGACACAGTTGCAACTTTTCCGAGAAATTTAATGTTTTTGGATAACTTTATTCAGGACTCAAAATGAAAGGTCCAATTACTAATCCACACCCAATCTTACCACTGATATTAGTGAATCGTAGTTCTTATTCCAGAGGATAGCCACGCCCCCAGATATCCTACCTCTGACAATTTTAGTACTTAGAAGATCAGTGGTCCATTATGAAATGTATTTAGACCCTCCAGATCCAGCCTCCTGTTTAGCTAGAAATAGGTGAATGAATAATAAAAAGTGATAAACTAAATGTGCTTATGAGGTAAAGTTGAGATACATTGTGAAATAAATCTTGTTGATTCCCATTTATTTTCATATAAATTCCATGAATATCATATTTCTTCTCTTTCCTTCAGCTGTCGAGTCAACGAAGCGCGTCATCAACATGGGCCAACGGCCGAGGTCAGAACAGCCGACAGATCTTAGAAGCAGTCAAAGTAAGTCTTCATTCAAATAGTGTATAATACAAGACATTGTGTTTGATTTTTCATGAAATTGATGCTTGCTTCATCTAACTAAAATGCTGGGGGGAAAGTGTTAATATGTGAGTTGGTCTGTTCCAGCATTTACATCTTCCAGAGAGACAGTGCTGGCACGGGAATGCAGGTGGAGGGCTCAATGCAGATCCCAAAAATGTGGTAAGGGCTTTTGTTTGTATGGCAGAGGGGTTTTTCACCCCAAATCATGGATGCAAATGCAATTTAATGTATTACATGGGATCTCAAAAACTCAACGTCTTCACGTTGGAAACAAAAAGGTTTGATTAAACTTCTGGCTGTCACTTCTGTTAAAAAAAATCCTGTTCATTTTGTAAGTCAATTTCCATTTTCAACACCAAATATAGGCAAATTCACGGACACCTAACAGGCATTAGGACGAACGTAAAGAGTTGCGGTATTTCTGATGATTTATTGGCGTGAAGTTTCGTCACCATGACAAACAGGAGAGAAACATTCAGGGATTTGAAATGAACTCCCTCCGACTCGCCAAATGCGGGTAAACATGAACTTTGGCGGGAAACGCTGTCAAATCACGAGCTAATTTGATGTGTTTCCGTGTTCACTCACTTTCTTTGCTGGGGAAGTTCGTGTAAGCCAAATCTGCGTGGATTTAGCGCAAATACACAACTCGTGAGTCCTCATGATATATTAAATACAGCGTATTGCAGAATCTGCGCATTTCTGGCTTACTTGAACACACACGTCACTACGCAACAAATAACGGCGCGTTTGTTCACTTGCATTGAAGTAATAGTGAATATTAAAAAGCATTTTGTGAACAGAAAATACAAACGTCCTACATATACTGTGTACTGTATTGATCGGTCCACCTAAAACACATTTTTGGTAAACAAAAAAGTTTTGGTATTTTCGTTTTCGAAACTTGTTGGTTGGTCCGATCGATTGTGCAAGTGATTTTTCGAACGTAAAGTGAACGCCCTACAGAGGGCATCCCGGATCCTGGATCCCGTTCTTCAGCCGGACTGAGTGTCAGAAGAGCGGCTGTGGGACTGAATTGGGGAAAAGTTAAACCAGGTTGAGAGATATATCCAGTCCTCGTTGCTATGAGTTGTCAGATTATGTAACAGCCTCATTTGTCTCTGTGACAGACCGTTATGCGAGTACAAACGTATTTTTTACATTTAAGTGCGAATGGTCAATAATTCTTTCATCTAAAACAAACTGAGCCTCTTCCTCTTATAGCTTTTTTTTATTTGATTTTTTTTTTTATTCCTCTTAAACTATCGAGTGCATTTGCGTATGATTCGGTCATTTGGATATGGTGAAGTTCAGATTTTTCCTATTGTGTTCCATGTTTCCATACCAAAACTCACCATATTCACAGGTGTCTGTGGTTTAACAGCCTCATTTACGCATCTAACAAATGTGATGAGCTAGAATGAGTGTGCTTGAGGGGAGCTTTGTTTGTAATGTGGACAGTCTGGTTTGGCAGGTCTTGTTCCTCTTGCGGTGTAGATGGGTTGGTTAACTCTAAAACAAGAAGACTCTAAAACAGATTACAATTAATAGTATTACATCAGTTAATTTGTGACTGTCTATATGTACTGGTATTATCAAATGCTGTATGAGTGTGTATATGCGGATAAATGTGTACATGCGGTAATGTTATATTTATGTATGTTATATTTGTGTATTTTAATTGTATATAAGTTTTAGTACGCTTATGGGCCCCAGGAAGACTAGCAACCACATTGTGGAAGCTAATGGGGATCCAAATAAATAATAAAAAAAAAAAAATAAATAAAAAATAAAAAATAAAAAAAAACTGATCACCGGCCGGGTTGATTGACAGCGGACTGAACTGAGCAGTCTTGTGGATCTCTGCTGCCCCCTCCTGCAGATGTTGATACAGCATCACATAATCATTCACAACCAGCACGTTCACACAGAAAATCACTAGCCTGACGTCCCGGGCCCATTGTGTTTTCCAGTCGGGCTACCCAAATGCATAACCCGACAGGCTGTCTGAAATAGTGTAATCAACTTCCTCCCTTTATTCACAGTATTGACTAGTTTTAAGGAAAAATATGACCGTGCAAGTTTTTGATCATGCTGATTTATCCACAGCCTGTTTTAAGAGAAACACAAAATAAAAAATTAAAGCTCCACTTTCACATCAATGCTTTACTTTGCTTGTCAGAATGAACCCATGTGCCAACACACTATCTCTGTAAAGCTGCTTTGAAACAAACATCTGTATTGTAAAAAGCGCTTCCTAAATAAAGGTCACTTGACCATCATATGGTGTTTTATATGCTATAAAGAGCATTAAATAATTAGAGCATTTGCCTCAAAGTCTGGTATTTTTATTATTATTTATTGCTACACTTCAATAGACCATTTCACAAGATGTAAACAACACTGGCCCAGAAGCACTTCCTGTTTCAGTTTTTTAACACTACATAAAAGCTGGGATAAAATCCAACCAACAGAACATTTAAAACTGAATCAAAAAGTTAAACAAACATCTTTAAGATGTTTTCTTTACATGTGAAATAAAGAAAACAGTTACAAACTGAAACAGGAAGTGTTTCTGGACCAGTGTTGTTTACATTTTGTGAAATGGTCTATATGTGAATTATTAACTCTTTTAGCGTTGTCGGACTTTAATACAATTGCAAGTTCTGGCGTTTGTGGAAGACAACTGGTGCTTCCACCCCTTGTAAAGCAGTGCCGTCCTCACTTAAATTATTGGTGCTAAGTGACAGAGATTGAGTGCAGAGTGGAGAACATTGTGTGTGTGTATGTTAAGAGGAACATTGATTTACGGCAGTATTTCCGTTCTACTCGGCCCAAAAAAAACGGGTCAGGAATGCATGAAAAAAATGTTGATTGATGTTTTGACTTTTGAATTTTCTACATTAAAAATTGTCTTTTTATTTGGCCTAGTCAAATTAATTTCGGGCTTCCACAATCTGAAGAGTGCCTACCCCAAGGGCTACCAGCGATTTTGAAGTTTTGCGAGTTCAAGAGTATTACAGAAAATGCTTGGGATGTTGAGATACATTTTGTTTTGGCCTGCACACGCATGTTTTAAAGTCCTTAAAGGAGTAGTTCACTTTTGAAAAAACTTTTGCTGATAATTTACTCACCCCCATGTCAACCAAGATGTCCATGTCTTTCTGTCTTCAGTCGAAAAGAAATTAAGGGTTTTGATGAAAACATTCCAGGATTTTTCTCCATATAATGGACTTCAATGGGGACCAAACGGTTCAAGGTCCAAAAGAAAGTTTCAGTGCAAACTGTTCAAAGGGCTTTAAACGACACCAGACGCTGAATAAGGGTCTTATCAAGTGAAACGATCGCTCATTTAATAAATAAATAACAAATTTTATGTTTTATAAGCTCAAATGGTTGCCTTGCTCTGTTCTGTGATGAGCTTTTGTGACTCTCCTGTTCGAACTCGTTCATCAAAATGAACAAATCTTTTTCCGTGTCATTTGGTTGATTCAACGAACAAAATGAAAGAGACTCGGAAAAAGATTTGTTCATTTTGATGAACGAGTTTGAACAGTAGAGTCACACAGAACAGAGCAAGGTGACCATTTGAGCTGATAAAACGTAACTTTTTTTTTATTATTATTATTAAATGATCGATCGTTTCGCTTGATAAGACCCTTATTCAGCGTCTGGAATCGTTTAAAGCCCTTTGAACAGTTTGCACTGAAACTGTCTTTTGGATCTTGAACTGTTTGGTCCCCATTGAAGTCCATTATATGGAGAAAAATAATGGAATGTTTTCATCAAAAACCTTAATTTCTTTTCGACTGAAGAAAGAAAGACATGGATGCTCAGCTGCTCATCTGAGGTGATGCGTGTTGCGGTAGCGTGACATGTAACGTGACATATAGCCTATATAACACGCTCTCGCATTTATTTTTAAGCATTTTTGGGAGGAGTAAAATTTACATACTGTATGTGGTTTCAACAACCAGATGCATTTACTCTGCGGCCCAGACCTCCTCCTGAAGTGGTTTGAGCGATCGTATTCATATCCGTCTCGATTGCGTTTCGGAGGGCATTTATATGCCCGTCCTTTTTTATGATCAGATCACAGAAAACGAATGAAGTGACCAGGTGTAAACAGCCCCAAAAGGAGGCAAGGGTTTAGTTACATTCAAGCTATTTTAAGGCATGAAGACATTCTTTAATGGAAAAAACTTTTAAATGTCATTTTGGTGATCAAAGATGAGTTTTAAAGGATAAAGTGATTGACTACGAGGGATTTTAAGAGAATGAAAACTAGAATATGCAACCTTTTTCTTCCAGATTTATGGTTTTAAAACTGGGAAACCCTTTAAAAAACGTTTCTTTTTTGTTTCCAGCTGAAGGAAGTGAACACAGCGAAGATCCTCTCAGCCATGTTGATGTATGTTTGGCCCAAAGACAGACCCGACCTCCGTGCTCGAGTGGCCATAGCACTGAGTCTGCTCGCTGGAGCCAAGGTGCGTTCATTTATCACCTAATACCTCATTGTCTACAATTTACATTTCAGTTTACATTCAGGCTGTTTTGATATGTTGTGCCTTAGGTGTGTAATGGCACACTTAAAATTATGGTTGACAGGGCTGAAGTCACGGTTCGGCTTGCTTTCAGTACAGCAGGGGTTAGAAACAAAACATTATATTTATTAAACAGTTGTTTACTGAACACACTCTGGCTACACATTAAAAAGTCTGTCAATACTGCTGGAACTGGCAGATTTTAAGTGCCACATTTTAGCAAACTGTAGTCATAATTAATAATAAATAATTGTTGCGGTCCGTCTCATTGAAGCTTATTAGTGATGATCCTTTATGCTAAATGGAAGACATCAACATTTTGTAATTTACTAGAGTAATTTTATAAACATGTGCAACTAAAATGTCTACTTAAATTTCAAATAACTTTTGTGAAAATAAAATCTCACCATATGGGGGAAATGTTCCAAAGTTTAAAATTGTTATTCAGCGTAATGAATAACACCAGACTTTGATTTTGCCATTGCAGCTTTAAATAAAGAAAAAATACCAAGTTAAAAAAATAATTGTTTTCTTGGCATTTTCAAATATGTGTTGGCTGTGTCAATATTAAAATTATTTACAATGTCGTTTATTTTTGTTCTTTTTTAAGTATTTAAATTACCAGGGGACTTTTGTCCTGAAAATGTAGTTTGTAAGAGATCATTCAGTGTAACAGTATCTAGAAGCCTTTCTGAAGTCTCGTACAAAACACATAGTCATTCGACAGTCTGTGACATCATCAAACGGCACCTTGATGTCTTGAAGAGTTTATGGTTCTTTAAAATTTGATAATTCCACCTTTGCATGGTGTGCTAGCTCGAAAATCATTCAGTGAAATGCTAAAAAACACTTATATTGTTAGATTTTTTTGAAAAAATAAGTAGATGTTGTGAATAACTGTGATTAACTTCACTGTTTGATATGGGTGGCACGTTGATGGCCTGCAATATAAGCTGAAGTAGAAGTTTTGCCATTCAGTGCAATGCAAAAAAGTGTCATCCATTAAGTTGAATGACAGGCTTACTGTATAAATATCAATTTAGCAGCTTGTTTATATTACAGATGAATGTTTAGTTCTTACAAATATGTGCTAAATGCATTTTTGTATTGTTTAAGATGCCCACGAACAGAGAGAGTTGAAAGGCACATGCCAAAATACCAAAAGTAAAAAATACCCAGTAGCTGGGGTGGCACTCTTGGCTCTCAATATTTTTAGCATTCACATTAGCTGGGAAAAAATCACTCTGAAAGTGATTCCATGATATCTTTTTGTCTGTGCCGTTATAGTTGTGGTGTGGACTATTCTTTTTTTCTTTCTATATCTTAATCATTATCATTATTGTAATCATACGTTGGTGTGAACAGGCTTTTAGCAAGGAAAAGAGAAAGGTATTATTTAGCATTGCGATTGTCAGAATAACAGCTTACCAATATTTTTGAACAGAGTTCCCCCTCACTTAGGCTTGTCCACACAGGTATTTTTATAACCGTGAGTTATTGAGTTTATAATTCTCGATGACCAGCCGCTGTCACAACTGAAATATCGTTTATTTAACAAAATTGTTTATTGATCTTCACATATAAAGAGATTATTTTCTTATATTATTCACATATAATCTTTTTCGATCCCTAGATTTATTTGTTACCCTTTATATTTATATTTATATATATATATATATATATATACAGGGCCTGAAATTAACACCCGACCACCTGCCAAATGCGGGTGAATTTTTCTATTGGCGGGTAACACTCTCAATCTACCTGCCACATTGGCAGGTAGCCAATGAGAATTGAGTGATTCATAAGGATTTTTAAATTTCAACTAAGTCTGCCATTGCGTTTGACTTTAGCTAAAATGTGGCGGCACATTACTGGGGTAAAGAGGCCAGCTGAAACAAACAACCAACAAAAATATGAGGATGAGAAAAAGAAAAGTAAAAGAAGACATTTTAATACAAAGTGGACAATTGGCGGCAATGGCAAGGTTCGTAAGCGGCTGATTTATGACAGCAACTGTTGTTTCGTAACGTTCATGCGATCAGAAGAAGACGAGGCCCTTTTCTGACTACGTTTGGATGTGCGAGTATTAAACTGTTGGTGAGATGGGATGAGATAATGTAATGCTGATGTAGCCTACAGTACAATGAGAGTTGCACAGATGTGTGTTGGGAGTTGGGATGGAACCAGTGAGAAAATATCCGGTACCCGGTAACTTTACCAGTAATAACAATATTAATTTAGTTCATATTTAACGGTTCCTGAACGCTGTAACTAAAAGCTGTCAGGATCTGTCTACGTGACTAAATCATCCATCAACACAGCCGCGTGTGATTTGTTTACATACGAGCTGCGGTAGGTCTGCCTGTGTTGAGTATATACTATAGCCTATACTAGGCTATATTGTGTGAGTGTCAAAATCAATGAATAAAACGATTTTTTTTTTAAATGTATGTTCTTAGAGTTATTATTATTACTTGACAGAACTTAAATGTGTATTCTTACAAGTGAAAGAACAATATTGTGAAATTCCCGTTTTTTCACCTTTCTATAAAGGTGAAGGAAAAAAAACCCCAGAAATTTCACAATATTGTTCTTTTTACCAGCCATTTTTTGGCTGAGGCAAAATATGAGGCAAAAAAAAAAAAAAAAAAAAAAAAGTGGCTGGTAAAAAGTCTCTGTGGCAGGTGAATTTTTAAATCCACCTGCCACAGTGGCCGGTGGCCGAAAAAGTTAATTTCAGGCCCTGTATATATATATATACAGTGGTGTGAATAAGTGTTTGCCCCCATTCTAAAGTTGCCTAAAAAGAGGAATAAAAAATCATCTTTTGGATATTGATCTTAATGCCTTAATTAGAAAAATGAGGAAAACTCCAACCTTTAAGGACTCAAATTTTCCTTGTGAATGAATAATGGATCATAAATAAATAAATGTTTTTCCTTAAAATAAAGGGTGCATAAGTCAGGACACCCCTATGTTAAATTCCCATAGAGTCAGGCAGATTTTTATTTTTAAAAGCCAGTTATTTCATGGATCCAGGATAATATGCATCCTGATAAAGTTCCCTTGGCCTTTGGAATTAAAATATCCCCACATCATCACACACCTTCCACCACACCGAGAGATTGGCATGGGGTACTTTCCATAAGATCATCTTTCAATGCAAATCAAACCAGCTATTAGGCTAACTGAAGTAAAACCATGCCAATCTCTAGGTGTGGTGGAAGGTGTGTGATGATGTGGGGATATTTTATTTTTAAAGGCCAAGGGAACTTTATCAGGATGCATATTATCCTGGATCCATGAAATAACTGGCTTTTAAAAGTAAAAATCTGCCTGACTCTATGGGAATTTAACATAGGGGGGCAATGACTTATGCACCCTGTATTTTAAGTCAAGTCACATTTATTTATATAGCGCTTTTCACAATGACAGATTGTATCAAAGCAGCTTCACAGTGATAACATGAAAGTATTTTTTTAAGGAAAAACATTTATTTATTTATGATCCATTATTCATTCACAAAGAAAATTTGTGTCCTTAAAGGTTGGAGTTTTCCTCATTTTTCTAATTAAGGCATTAAGATCAATATCCAAAAGATGATTTTTTTATTCCTCTTTTTAGGCAACTTTAGCATGGGGGCAAACACTTATTCACACCACTGTATATATATATATAGTTATTTTGTAAATCTAAAATACCTTTTTCAGTTTACAGTGTGTGGCTGCATTAAGTTCTTTTTCACTTAAGATAAATAATATATTGCTGTAAAATGTAATTCATATAACAAAAATACTCTAGTTCACTCACTGTATGTATTTGTTCATGTTTAATTGAGGGATAAGTCTGAAGCACATCGTAATAATTCTATCAATTCATACAGTGCTAGTATGAATTGCAGCTGGATAGATACTATACACACTCAGGTATCGGAATCGGTATCGGGAAGAGAAAAAGGGTATCGGAACATCTCTATAATATATGACAATTTAACTCCGTTATCAAATCAGTTGATGTTTCAGTGGTTTTGTCCATTCTTCTGTACGACTGTCTCTATAGACCATTTCACTAGATGTAAACAATACTGGTCCAGAAGCACTTCCTGTTTCAGTTTGTAACTGTTTTCTTTATTTCACATGTAAAGAAAACATCTTAAAGATGTTTGTTTAACTTTTTGATTCAGTTTCAAATGTTCTGTTGGTTGTATTTTATCCCAGCTTTTATATAGTGTTAAAAAACTGAAACAGGAAGTGCTTCTGGACCAGTGTTGTTTACATCTTGTGAAATGGTCTTTATGACTTATGTTGAATATCTGTCCGCTGTTCAACTGGCTTTATGCCCAGCTGCACTACTTCCTGAACTTAAGCCAGCTCCTGGTTTCCTGTCTGCCATTATTGGCCGAAATTGATTAATCCAGGTGTGCCTGATTATTGTTGCCGTGACTACTGAGGTCAGGCACACCTGGATTAATCAATTTGACCAATAATGGCAGACAGAAAACAAGGAGCTGGCTTAAGTTCAGGAAGTAGTGCAGTTGTGCATCAAGTCCATTTAACTACACAATAGGCGTTTCTCAATGTCAAGGAAGGATCCTCGGAAGCCGGAATTTCGAGGATGCTACGTCATCGACGTCCGTCGAAGGACTGTTCCAATGTCAAGGATCCTCAGACTTTCAACCAAGGACTGAGTCCTTCGTTCGGAAAATATCCCATACACAGGAAAGGATGCATATGTGTAGCCTTCGCGCTCTTAAATCACCCACAATCCTATGCGCAGCTTTGCTATCTTGTTCAAAAAATAAAAAAATGTCGACCGTTAGCGGAGTCGGAGTGATAACGGCAATATGCTTTCAAATGTAAGCAAGTATAATTTCAGTTTAGCTATTTATTTAATGTTTGTTAAACTATTTCACATATCGGCTCAAATTTGCTTAGGGGATTTAAAGCTGTTCCCTTTTACTGGTGATTAACTTTTTAATTTTTACTTCATAGCCTTTTTTTGTTGGTCACATATTTTACAATTGCATGTGTTTTAACAGCTAACGTTAGATCATGTTGCTATGGAGGTAGTTCTGTTAACTCCGGTAATATAATCGTTTTTGAATGAATAAACTCCTTTTTAAATCAATATTTTGTGTCAAATTATTGATTTATTTGGTAGGTAGCCATGTTATAAGTGGGAAAATGTATAGCGAGGCGGTTGTTACAGCGAATACAACCGGCTGATCAAGACCCCTCTGCTTTAGAGTTTGCGGGGTTGTATTCACTATAACAACTGCCTGGTTATACATTATCCCTTTATTTATTTATTTCTATGAGGACTGACAAGACAAAATAAGGACTGTCAAGTGTATTTAAACAGTGCAGTACACCAGCACAATGATTTTTGCAGCGCCGAAGCGGACCTTTCACTGATGTAATGACGCAATGACGTGCACTTGCTAGCCTGTTCCATTTACGTGTTCTCCGAATGCTAAAGAGGACCCTTGCCTAGCCTCTGAAGGAAATGACTTGGAAGGACCCGTCCTGCCAAGGAAGTATCCTTGACATTGAGAAACACCTAATAAGATAATACCAATTTAGCTCAACCAATTAGCAAGCAATACTTCATTTTGTTCAGTCAGTGGGGTAAAAAAAAGGTTGCATTAGCAATTAAAGAAAAAACACAAGCAAAACATGGTCAGGTCAAAGTGTCGGAATAATTTTTGGATAAATTTTGCATAAATTTTACTGGTAATCCATATATAAAGAATAATAGTATAAAGAATTATGTAATATTAATTCTTATTTATATAAGTATAAAGAATATTTGGCTTTAGTATGTCAGTTTACTTTTATTTTGCTCTCCTCACTTACATAAATGAAGTATAGTGTCCTGCACCCACTAGTAAAATAACTTGTATCTGGTGTCTGAATAATTTTTGGTTTGACCGTATATCAGTATTTTTGCCTTATAGTTATTTAGGAATTGGGTTAGAAAATAAATAATGCAAAACAAAATGTCATCTTCAGGGTAAAGTACGACCAGGACGGTGGCGTGACGTTCGCCTTTGAGATTCATTATTGTGTGGCGTCGACGTTTGCCGTTCACCTGAAATGAGTCATATACAATAAAAAAGGGGTGAGCAGAAGTGTGGCCTAATTCGAGGCAAATGTCGTCCGGCTAATGTGCTGCTGTTTGTTGGCGCGATCCTGCAGCTTTCTGCCAGCTTTTAATTAGCTTTAATAACCATTTCAATTCCATTAGTGGATGCATCAAGCAAGTCTGCAGAGGACACACACACACACACACACACACACTGTTAATGCAGGGCTGAGCTTCTGCACTCAGAACACAGAACAACATTTGGTGTGCTCACATCAACCTTTGCTTTTTTCTGCTTGTCCTCCAGATAACCAATGTGATGGTGCCCTTCATGTTTAAATATGCGGTGGACGACCTGAACCAGATGTCGGGACACATGTTGAACCTGAGCGATGCGCCAAACACAGTGGCCACCATGGCAACGGCTATTCTGATTGGCTGTAAGTTCTGCCTGCTCCTGTTTGGCAGGTGTTTGACTTCCTTTTGGGAAGGGTGCTGCATATTAAATGCCATCTGACCTTTACTGCAAACTTTGTGTCAATGTTGGTTTTTAGATTCATCGTAATGCGTTTTGTAATGCATGCGTCTGCTCTCGGCTCTAATGCAATTTTTAATCTGGTCTCCTGACCAGAAAGAGTCCGATAACAATACTTCAATTTTTGTTACTTGCCAAACATTTGCCTGTCACTCTTTTAACCCTCTGGGCTTCTTCGTAAATGTGTTACACTTAGCTTCCTCCCGGTCAAAAACGGACGAAGCCTTAAAATTTTACTTTACTTCTTCCCAGGATAACCATTTAAATATATTTTTGTTCTATAATATTTTATGATTATTATTTAGAATTTTTAGAATTTTTTATGATACTTTGCATTAATTATATAATTCTTATGAGCTATTTTTTCCATTAGAATTAATATACATATTTTTATTTTATATTGTTTTTTATTTTTTTTCAATAAATACAACATTTCACATCAAAATAGAGTGTCAGCTAATAAAAAAATAATAATTCAAGTAGAAGAGCGCCACCTAGTGGCTTTAAAAAATAGTTACATGTGTGCAATGTCCTGTACAGCCTGTAGGCTGCCTATAGCTTCCTATTCAAATACATAGAAAGGCTTTTTGATTCTTTTTGTTGGTTTAGACATGATTTCTCATGTCTGTGTGTGTGTGTGTGAGTGCGCATCTGAGCAAGATTTTTTTCTCATTTATTGATTTTATTTTTCATATTCTACAAATTTGCTGGTGCAGTCTTGCCAGTTTATCTGTGTATGTGTGTGTGTTTGTGTGCGTGTGTGTGGGGGGGGCATTATTTGCACTCATGATGTTCTAGAGTGTCACCCCTTCATTGCTGTACACTTTTTTTCTGCACAGTTGCTGATCTGTAGCTTGTACCACCAAAAGTTTCTCTGAGTTTTCCTATTTTTTCGTATTTCCCATTCATTTCCTATGTCGGTCATTTTTGACCGGGAGGAAGCTAAGTGTGACTTTTTTTTTTACGACCCTTTAACAAATCAGAATCATCTCCTTGATTTTTTTGTGTGTTCATATAGGTAATACAACAAAAGTCACCAAGTTTCAGCCCGATCCGATCAAGCAAAAAAATTAAACATTTCAAAACGTAACAGTTTTCAGTCATTTTTGACCGAAGAAGCCCAGAGGGTTAACACAAATGTGGTCTATCATTTCAATCATCAAATACGCTAGTATCAGCTTGACGTTATTAGCCACTTTACACGGCGGCTCGCTATAACGTTAACCGAGATTAATATGTGCTGTTATTAGCCGCGTATCCAAGTGTTCGAGTGGAACACTTTCCTGCAGAATGTTTAACTTGACTTGCATTTCTGCAATACTATTATCAAGTAGGCCTATTTTATTTTGGTTGGCAGTCTAATAAATAATGAAGTGGCAGCAGTAACTGCACCTGTTTCTGAATATTCCTTTAAATTGAGTACATAATGAATAAACAAAAATCACAAACATGATCATTGTAATTAAAACTATTTTATAAATGCAATTTCATAATATTCATACTTTGCTGTATATTAAAAAATAAATTAATAAATAACTTGATTTTAACTTTTAATTACTTTAATAAAAATCAATTACTTTAATAAAAATCAATTACTTTAATTAAATAAAGCTGTAATTTTTATTTTGTTATATGCCACTTTGGAACTCTGACCATAAAGGAAAAACCTCTTTTTGTCATTTTTTTTCATGCAGAACGATTCCCAATTTTAGACAAACAACAAATACATTATAGCTCGAATATAAGTTTAAAAACAGCGCCACATTATAATTAAAGTCCCCCTGTAGTGAAAATCAAGTTTTTAATGTTGTTTTTATGTCTATGTGGTGTTTTTAATATGCTTTAAGACAAACCATGTGTAAATTCATAAGTGGACAGCATTGCTGAGTATTTCCTCCTTAAAAAGAGACAGTCTCAAAAACACGCTTTGAAATCGCTGGTGTGATCGTCAACCAGTGGATCTCTGAGTGAGTGAGTGGAAGCGGGGGTCATTTGCATATTCATAGAACCGCGCATACTAAATGAGGCAAGGGTGTCGAGTTAAATTCAATATATATAAGACTATATATTTTATATATTTCTCAAGGAAAAAATGCTTAAATGTAATTTTGGTGATCAAAGATGAGTTTTAACGCATACATTGATTGACTACAGTAAATTAAACGTATCATCATGAAATCCCGCCAAAAAGAAAGAAAACTTCAGACCTTATAAAAAAAAATAGACAAATTGATTTGTGACATCAACATGCATTTATCATTCTTACAATCACCAAATTGGATTCTGTTCTGTTCAATTGGATTCAACAGTTCTCCTCACGAAACGAAATTCATTTCAAACACAAATTTGTTAAAAACAGTATAGGGCTGTGTGATTTATCAAAATCGCGATTTGAGCATGCACGATTTCTAAATCGCTTCATTACACGATTTTTTCAGTGCTACCGACTCCAACCTCCCAGTATGCTCTCTTAACCAATCAGAATGCAGCGCCTAAATTGATTGCGAGAACAGATCAGACTGGGTGGGTACCAGAGGTTAAGGTAGCACGAGTGCATGGAAATATTAGCGCAAAGTGGCTTGCCTCACCAGTTTCTTTTTCTGGGAAGGTAAGGGAATATCATTACCTAATCGGTTTACAAGAAGTAAAGTCATTCAGTCATTCTCCATTCAGCATTCAAACAGCGCGTCGCGTTCGGTTACGACAGTCAACGATGAAACTCAGTCCAAGTCAAGATGATCATTCAATGTTAATATTATTATACTTGATCTGTTGATGAAGATTTTTGTTCTGTCCTATCTATCATACATTAAACATCTGTGCTATACTTAATATGTCTTAATTTTATAGTAGACTATATATAAAATAATTGATCTTTTTGATTTTTGTTATCTGGTTTTTCATGAAAGAATTTTACAACAATACAAAGAGCAATGTGTGAAGTTTTACCAGATTTAGTGCTACACGATAAAGGTCAATTTGGTTTCCTTTGGAAATATGTTTCAAATTCACACAGAATGCATTAAAACTGTAAAGCATGTCTGTTCGTGTTAAAATCGAAATTGAAAATGTTTTTTTTTTTTGAAAGAAATCGTGATTCATTTATTTTTTTTGTCAGTATCGCACAGCCCTAGAACAGTGAAGAAATTAATAACATTAGAGCCAAACTAAAATCTTTTAACGTTTTAATTATTAAATTAAACTAAATGAATCGCAGGCAATCATTAGATAAAGTTCAGCCAAACTTAACATGTCAAATGTTGTCTCCAGCGGGATCGGGAATTGATGATATAATCGAATATTGCAATATATTTTAAGGTGATTGTCGTATTTTATCGCTATCGCCGAGCCCCAAGTCAGAGTTTGCTTAAATTGAAGTTGTCGGTGTCACTGAATGAAGCCCAAGTATGTTTAAATAAATATAAACCAAGATAATGACTAATGGTGATGCTAAACACTTACAAGTCATTGTGTCTTAAAATGAAAATTCACTGTCTTCTCATAAGTGTGTATTTTAATGAGAGCCATTAGGTCCTGTGCACACAGACCATTAAATGCTTCTCCGTGCTGCTGCTTGTGTGATTTGTGTGCGCTGCAAGGCACAGATTATCTATGCAGAGTTTGTGTTGATTGATATAGTAATCGACGCACTATTCATCCTGAAGCTGAGAATGTGATGCACTAAGAGCGGGTTTGTCCACAATCGGATGTTCAGGTCAAGTTCATTTTTGACCCTTGAAATCTCAGTTCTAACTTAAATAGCTAATTAATAATCATAAACCAGGCCAGTGTAATCACTCCGCTTTAGGGTCATGTGTCTCTAAATTCTTCACTTTTTTTTATTTGCAAAGTACAATCTTATTTACATGCACTTCATTGGTCGACTAGTAGGTCAACCGTCTTGACTAGTACTCAACCGTCTTGACGCATCCATAATAAACGTGAGCTGTATAGAAGAGTATTTAATACTTAAAAGTTCTTATAAGTTAAAAATAAGGAAGAACAGCTGTGAGCGACGTTTAGATGAGTATGTAAACATGCGGCGTGTGCTTTCCTACAGTTAAAGGGGTCATGAACTGGCTTATTAAATTTTATTATATTGTTGTCTGAGGTCAACTTATGATGTTTGCTTGGTTTTTACATTAAAAAACATCAAATTGAATAAGTAATAGGCTATTTTCTACCCTAGTTTTGAGCCTAGCTCAAACACGCTCGGTTTTTATGGGTGTGTCGCATTGAAGACTTGGTAGTAAAGCCCACTGCTGTGAGTGGCTAACTGTTTTGCATATTATAATGAGTTTAACTCACCTGTCGATGCACTTGGGGGAAACTGTTTTGCAAACGTCCAGGCACCCGGAATGATTCGCCCATACATGTTCGACCCAGAGTCCGTATTTATCCTCTTTGAAAAACGAGTCGTTTGCTATGGAAGCTTGTTTCCGCCATAGAATGAAAAATATAAAAGGTAATTGCGACTTTTTATCTCACAATTCTGACTTTTTTTTTTCTCACAATTGTGAGTTTACTTCTCGCAATTCTGACATTATTTCTCAGAATTGCAAGATGGAAAGTCAGAATTGCGAGATATAAAGTCAGAATTGCGTAATATAAAGTCAGAATTGCGAGATATGAAGTCAGAATTGCGAGTTATAAAGTCAGAATTGTGAGATATAAAGTCAGAATTGCGAGATATAAAGTCGCAATTGCGTGTTATAAAGTCAGAAATGCGAGATATAAAGTCAGAATTGCGAGACATAAAGTCAGAATTGCGAGTTATAAAGTCAGAATTGCGAGATATAAAGTCAGAATTGCGAGTTATAAAGTCAGAATTGCGAGATATAAAGTCAGAATTGCGAGATATAAAGTCAGAATTGCGAGATATAAAGTCAGAATTGCGTGATATAA